TATCCAGGTTTACTTCCACCACAGGGAGCTCACACACCACTTTGCAGAATGGCACATGCACGCCTTGCAACATCCCAGGAGCTGCTACCAGCAAGAGCCCAGCTGAAGATCCATAAACAAGAGGTCTGCAGCACCACACAGCTACACCCCACTTCACTGTTAACTAGCCACAGCTTCAAGGAGACCCAGAGTCTCAGTGGTGTGTGTGGAAGACAGAACATGAACTATGGAGGCTTTTAGCTGTAAGATCACCTTCTCTGTCACTGTAATTGAGTCAGGTTCAGCACCAGGAACCTGGCAGCTCAGGAAATCTGCTCTGTACTGTCCATTCCCTCTGCTCAGCTCAGGTCCCCACCCAGGGCTTCCAATTAGATCACCAAGCCACACTAAAAATAGCCAGCTCACAAAACCAGCTCTTGGCTCTAGCCACTCCACCCTCAAAATACAGAGACTAACTATACTGCCTTCTGCAAACAAAGGAGAATTCACTCCTCCATCTATTTATAAGCTGCTTATTCACAGCTTGTAAGCACAGATTCTTTTCAGATGAGGAGCTTGGGGGAAGAGATTAAGCTTATTCTGGTTCCCTGGTGCACAGAGCCAAACACTCAACATGATCATTCCTTCCCCATCTGAGGTTTTTCTCCTTTCAGCTCTCACCTCTAGCCTTGGGAATATCCTGCCCATCACCATGCAGATCATGACACCATCCCACTCCTGTGCCATGGTGAGAACACTGTGCTAGAGCCAGGCAGGTGCATTCTGGTTAAAAACCATCTATATATTCATAGAAAATGGTTATACCTTCTGTACTCTACTTGTGACTCATAACACATCTGCAGGATGAAAGGCATTCACTGGGCACTTGTCTAAGCACACGTTTCCAGCTCTTGGCTATGCAGGAAGAGGAGCAATAATGGGAACAACAGTGAGAAACACCGGGCTAAGGACCAGGTTAAAAGGATCCTGGCTTTGCTGCCCAGCCCCAGCCTCACTTCAGCAAGAGCTCCCACTGCTGCTGCCTGGCTTCTGGCAGCTGCTCTGACATTGCCATCAGAAACTGTAAGTTTTTGACATCTACTACAGAAGCAGCAATAAATTAATCCACTTTTCACAGCTGGCTCAGTGAGTTGCCTGCAGGTTAGCTGATCACTACACTAGATAGACAGAAGTCAAAGCTACACCTGCTAACCAACTCTACGTACCTTGTTAAAACAATTCTGGTTATTAAAAAATTTCTCTTTGAAAGTGCAAAAAGAAGTATTAACAGCATTGAAGTGATGGAGGTCTCTGTGTCATGTGGCCACACTTACCAAGAGGAACTTCAGCTAGGTTAACAGCTCTGCATTTCAATCCCCAGAAAGACTGGGACACCAAAACTTCAAAGAGTTCAGCTAACAGACCTGGAGAAACACTGAGCCTTCAGTGCAGTGGATGGTGTGAAGGCAAATGTGCTGGCTTTAAATCTACCAACAGTGAGCAAGTGGCAATGCCACCTCCAGCAGTCCCCAGGCACCTCTGGGTGGCCAGCCCTACCACTACAGCACCTAAAGAGGTGCCACAAAGATACACTGGCTCATGAGTGCCACACCCACACCCACTCCAGGACAAATTCAGCCTGGTCTTGCTGGAGGTGGGAGATCTCAGAGAGAGCAGCTGAGCACACCACAGCCCCTAATCCAACTCCCGGCAATGAGCTGCCTGCAGGATGTGTATTCTGGGAACTGAGCTCCTCCTTCCTAAGCTGGGAAAAGGCAGAGCTCCAAACAGCCTGCTTGGAGAAGACTCTTTCCTTTTGTGGACAAGCAGCTGGATGGGCAAGGCTATTTTCTGCAGTGGTACTTGGTGGAGAAAGGAGTATGAGACTTCTGGACAGCTCACAATGGGAGCAGTTACTGCTCAAAGCCACTGCTATGGTGCTACAGCATCTCAGGATGAGACCATCCAGGAAAGACTCCAAAGCTCTTAAATCATCTGCTAGAGAAACAAACGGATGGAGCACAACACATCCCTCCTGCATGCCCACATCTCTGATGGAATGAGTTCAACTTTTGCAGGAAAGAACCTGTGGCACTGGCTTAGCAAAGCCTCACAAATCCCAGGTCAGAGCTGAGCAGCAATGAGATCCCACTGCTCTGTGCCACAAACACTCCAAAGGGCATCTGTGCTCTCCAGGAGGGCAGAGCAAGAAGAGAAGGCTCCACAACCAATCCCACAAGAAGAGTTTCATTACTAGAGAAAAACTAAAACAATTCTTGTTTACTGTGTGCTCTTGAAAGGTATTTGGCAGATAACATCTGACTGCACTGAGTACATGCCTGCTTCCTTGCCTGTTTTAACTTACTGTCTCCAACCTGTGGTCAGGCATTTTCAGAAGGGTTCATCCATCTCTATTCTTACCAGCTCCTGGTGTTCTTTTTCCACATGAAACCACAAAATAGCAAGAAAGACATCTGTGACAGCTAGAAAAATATATTGCCTAAAAAAAACCCCAAGTCAATCCCTTGCTTGGTTAATCCCAAGGTGAAGGTGCAGATGGGCTTGTCATCTTTATTCTTAAAAAAAAAAAATTTAAAAAATCACAAGTTTAACTTTAGTTCTCCACCTGTAGTTGGCATATTTTAAATAAGTGGAGTCAAAAGTCCAGAAAACTGCTCTTTAAACTGTCTTCTGTATTTATATGTAATTCATGCACATTCAGACAGTCACCTGTTCACAACTGGCCTCAATTTATGACTAAGAAATCCTGGCAGTCATGACTATTTTATCAGACTTTTGTACCACAAGAGACAATAAAAAACAACAATGGGACACGTGATAGACAAAAGAGCCAAAGGTGACTTAGAAGAGTAAAGCCATTTGACTTGCTTTTGTAAATAATTTATTTCAAGTATTGGGAGAATGGGTGTGGAATTAGGCTGCTAAGCATTGATCAAGATTTTACAATTCAAAGTTCAGAGCAGCAGTACCACAAGCCCTGCTGAGTGCACACACAAAGGGAGTTCTGTTCCATTTTCACACATCACCAGTTGGAAATCAAATATTGGACCTACATACATCACTAGCCACTCCATGCTAGCTTAGTTGGTCAGTTGCAATATTTTGTCTCTATCCTGCTTTGATCATATCTATTAAAGAAACCTTTGAAAATCATAATCTTTAGAGTATTAGCAGAACTTAGAACCTTTAATATCTGCACATCAGATAGGAAAGAAGGAGTAAGTGCAAAGTCATGGAGGACTGAAAATCAACAGTGCCTTAAACAGAGTTCTCTAGCCAAGTGATAGAGCTCTATTCTCCATTTGAAAGCATCCTGAAACAAAGAAGAGTGGACTTCTTTAGTCCTCTGCCCCAAGTTAGATGAAAATTTAAATACTGCATGGATTTTAGTTTCTGCAACTACTCCACAGCCTAGAAAATAATAACAACTTTCTCCTGCTATATTCAGTTATGCTCCTTAGGCTGGAGACAGTCACATATATTTGAGCCATGGCATACAGTCTCTCTTCACACTGGCAGACAATGAACATAACCTGAATTAAGCAGAGAATATTCTACACAGTTTCAGCATGCACTCAAAAACCGTACAATCCAAGAATTCTGTGTGTATCCTCCACCCCTGCCCTTGCTAAAGTAATCAAAGCAGTAAATTATCCTTAGGGGATCTGTCAGATCAGGTTTCAAAGTTGATAATTTCCTGCACAAAAACACAGGCTTAGCTTAAAACCAAAACAAAACATTAAACTCATGCACATTTTCCCATTCTCCTAGGACTCTAAAGTTGCTGTGTTACTTAAAATAAAATAAATAATAATAAAAAAAACTAAACAAAGCACAAAACCCCACATTACTGTGCTTCTCATGTCATGTGAGAATGAAAAGATTATACTGTAGCAATTCAATCCAAAATTGCATCAAGATTACTTCACCAGTTCAGCAAGAGAACTGTGTCTGCATAGTCTGCCAGAGCTCCTGACAGGAGCCACAGCAAGCAGGGAACAGAAACAGTTACACAGCCTGCCCTCATGCTCCTCTCTCTGCACCAAAATGTGGATCCTCTTCTTCCAGTGACAGGCAGCAACTTGCACTGTCATGCACTTGCTGAATTTTAAAAGAGAAATGTTTTTTTCACAGTGTTTGGTTGAGATACTCCATAACTACTTTGTTATCTTCTCTGGATTCCTCCCTTCAAACCTCCCAGCTTGTGATGGCAACATGGAATTGAACCAGAGCAAAGCTGTGGGTGCATGGAGCTACTCCACACCACCCTGCCACCCCCTGTGCCCTCACCTGCACCCACATGCCAGTGCTTATCTCACACTGGGCTGCAAGCTCCTGGCTGCAAAGGCTGCCTTTCTACCTTGCTGTTTGCACAGCACATAGCACAGAGGCCTTCCCATGCTGATAGGCTTCAGGTGTTTCAGCAGCACAAACACAAGTTGTGCAATGCCCTGGGGATGTCAAACAGCTGGGCTCTCTCAGTCCCCGCTTCTCATACCGACCCCACAAATGGGCAGTGAGCATTTGTTTGTGCAAACTGCACCAATGTGCCAGGAGATCAGAGTCTGCCTCAGCCAGCAAGCATTCTCCCAGCTAAGGTCCCTGGAAATCCCCTTGCACAAGGAGTGCCTTAGGAAATCACACAGTGATAACGGCCTGTACCTAAACATCCATCACTGCTATCATCAATTAAGACTTGTGTTCTACAGGTGCCCAAAATACCCACTTCTCTCTCCACTACAGAAGATAAGTCTGATTTGGCTTGAAAAAGGAAGTTGAACCATCTAAGTGAATTATCTGAACTAGTTTTTGGACTGGGGAAGAAGCAATCAAGATAAGAGTAAAATTCATTACATTTTTCACCTTTACTGTTTTTAACATAATTCCTTGCTACACAAAGCTGTTCTCCAGCCTGCACAAACCATGGGGCACCTCAGGGAGGCTCCCAGCACCTGATTTCTGCTCATCCCCATCTCCTTTTCTCCCATCTGGGGGCTCACCTGTAGTCTTGGGTGAGGGTGACACAGGACGCCTCCTTGCCCAGTCTGGCGAGGAGCGCTCCGCCCTCCTGCTGCACCCTGACCAAACTTGCATCTTCAAGAACATTCTTCATCAACTGCCTTGAATTCCTCAGCAGCACAGCTGCATCCTGGAGGGATCACAAGAGTGAGGTGAGCAGATATTGCAACCTACAGGCAATGAGGGAACAGGCAAAAAAAACCAGAACCTAAACCAAAACACACCAAAATCACACCTCACTGGGCCCACTCTAGGCAAAGGGGATGCTGGATCCCACAGCTGTTTCTCTCCAGCCTGATAAGTCTAAAGTGATAAACAGTGCTCCTTATGCTCCTGATATCGTCCCCACTAGGCTAAAATTGTGACCCAATTCCCATCATTGTTCTTCCATTCATTTGCTGGGCATATTAAAAATAGCTTTCCAGCCTTGCTTCCCACTCATCCTCAGCTCCTACTGTTCTGGGAGCCTGGATCTGCATGGCTCCAAGCCTTGGGACAAGGTGCACATGAAGGGCTTGTGGAGATACAGATGTGTGCAGGAAGGCCACTACCACATCCTCCATCATTTACTACTGGCACCCTCAGTGCAGAGCTGGCAGCAATTCCCTACCATGTCAGGGGTACAGCAGCTTCTCAAGAAGAGAAATAGAAGGTTTGTGACCACATAGGCTTGGTCTTTGTCTCTTTGTCCCTTCCCTTTCTTGCCCACTTCCAAACTTTGCCCACACCCAAGTCTGTATCAGCTACAGAGCTCTGGAGCTGCTAAGAATGCACCCCAAAGCTGGAGCCAGCACCCATCAGCAACAAGCCCAGCTGGAAACATCTCCTGGGTGACTCTGAGGAATCAGACATTCAGCTTCTAAACCCACTGAAGCCTCTATCACTTCATTTGGACCAGCTTCTACTACTATTGGGAAACCCCGCTACTATAGCCTGCAAATTCAAAGCTACAGCCTTTCTGCAGCTGTCCAGCCTTCTGGGAGCTGTGCTCCCTTCTTCCTCAGGTCCACCCCTGATCCAAAGTGAGTGACATGCTTACCTCAGCCTTTCTTGGTAATTTTGTGGATTCCACTTTATTAATAGCTCCCTGAAGGAAGGCACAAACACCCTGGCATTGTTGTAGCAAGTATTCCAGCTTCTACAAGAAGAAAAGACATGGCAGAGATTATTGTCCCATGGCTGACAGGAAAGGTCTTCTGAGCTTGCAGAAGCTTCAGAGGACAAAAACCAAGAGAGGATCAAACACATTAATCCAAGGGTTCAATTATATCATTCAGTGAGACTGTATCAGCAAAGAGAACCCCATGAGAAGCTTCAGCTGTATCACACTAGACCAAGGCCTCTATGCAGACCTTAGAAACTTGCATACTCATGGCTTGGATGGGTCATGCTTTACAGAAAAAAAAGCAAAAAACAGTCCACTTATGTCTCACATTCTTCCATTAGCATTTCTTGTAACTTTCCATGATGATGAATCACACTGCATAAATTTCAGAGAAACAAAACATAAAACAAGTACTTGGAATTTTTCTACTTTAAATAATTTCTCCTCCTATTAAAAGTCGTGTAAATTTAAGATTAGGAAACTGGAAAGCTTCCAAAATTAAGCACCTTAACCTATGGACAAATTTGAAATCCTTCCGCTCTGCAGGGTAGGGGGGAAGCAGGGAGAAAAACAAACAAAAAAAAAGTCCAAACATTTCATAAGGGTTTGTGAGGCACTATTTTTCAGAAAAGTTACTGATATAAAGCCTGAATACTGCCAGATGCCACCCTCTAGCCACTAAAATCAAGAGAAGGGAGAAACAGTTATTCCAAAATAACTGTGTTTAAAACAAAACAAAAAAGCAGCTGTTTGAATCTTTACTGAATTGAACTCCCTCCTCCCCTGGAGTGCTGGAGCACTGCCAGCAGTGACAGATTAGCAGGCAGGATGCAGGTGAGATCACTGAGACAGGAAATAAATGCTGTTTGCCACATAGCTGCAGAGCTAAAGGAGCTGAGCACACGGGTCATTATCACACACAGTATAAACAGGCATTCCATACAGAATGATTCCCATATTACCTCCTTTTGGCAACGTTTTACATGCCAAGACAAGAAATAGCCTGATATTATGCTGCTTCCTTCATGAATTACCCTTCTGCACACACAGAGCACCTCAGCTCTCAAGGTATTCTCAACTCTGTCCATTAAACTAATCCATAACTTCTTGCAAAGTTTCTCTGCTTCGCCACTGCCAAATAAACTTCAACTTCTCCAAGTCAGTCCTGGGCACCAAGATTAGGCCTCTGTACCTCTACTGCATCTGCACAGGTTCATACAAGTACTTTCAGATGTAAGTTGGAAAAAATAAGTTAACATTTGGCACATGCCAAGCCTATCTTCTGAAGCCTACCACCAGCACCACAGTGGTGCCCTCTGTGACATCTTAATCGTGGCACTCTGGGTGGCAAGGTCAGAGCCAAAAGACCACTGGATCCTCTGGAAGCTGAGGTGACAATTCTGTCAACCACCAGGGTCAGCAAACTCAATGTAAAGACAGCCAGCTTGTGTGCAGATTTACAGAGATTTAATCCTGTCTAGTCTTAGTGTGCCAAGTAACTCAATAGAGCTTTTAAAGATTCAACAGGCACATGGTTGACAGCACTCAGGCTCCCCCCACAGCACAAGTGCACATAGAGTGTGTATTGGTACCATGGATGCCACCCCTGCAGGCTTCTGGCAGTCTGCACATACCCTGCTGCTTGCAAGTAGAAGATATTCCTAGAAGAAGAATTCTGAACTGATTATCCAGAACTTCCAAGTCTCACTCATGCAAGGACTGCAGATATTACCAAGGAGATAACAGCTTGATCTGATTCTTGCTCCAAAAGCAAAAAGATTTAATTTGTTATTACAGTCAAGTTCTTCTTCATTAGTCCAATGGCAACATGATACTAACACCTTCTGCTGAGATTAGTTTCAGATGTCTGTCCTCCTAACTCAAGAGCCACTTGTGTACCACAAGACAGGATTCCATTTCAGATTTGACCATATTTTGAAGGCAAGAAAGAATAGAAAGAATTAATGCAGTTCAAGCAAATGAGTAAAAAACTAAAACTTCAGCTCCTGCAGTTGTGCCAAGAGCCCACAGTGTGTACCCATCTTATGAAGACAGTATTAGCATTTTTTTGATACCAGAGACTCATTTGCATTCACAGCTTTACAGGAAAATTGTCTTTTAATGCTTATAGGTTCAGCTGCTGACAGGTTCCTGCTGTTCCCATCTCTCAGACCCCAGAGCACACAGGACGCCGTACTCACCCTGCGGAAGCTCAGCCAGCTCTGGTGGCAGTATGGGAAGGTCCCTTCCAGCTCCAGAGGCAGCTGGGAGCTGTCTATGTGCTTATGGAGGGATTTCATGGAGGTGAGAAGTTCAAACTGCACAGGAATAGAAGGGAAAAGAAAAAAACTCACTTGTATTAGGGTGTGAGTACTGGAGGAAGAGGGGAAGGTTAACAAAAGGCAGAATCTATTATTTCTTTATCTGTCTTGCACAGAGCACAGCATGCAGTGTGTAGCTGCAATATCACTACATTATGAAGGGGAAAAAAAAAACCAACAAAAATTCAATCTTAGAGGAGCTTGTTAAACAGCTCAGTGGGCAAACCCTGAAGGAATGCAGGCCACAACACGCTGTTTCACCAGGCAGAACATCTGTGATGGAAGTCTGGCAGCAGCCAGCCCTCTCCAGAGCCAGCACCTCCTGGTGTAAGCAGAGCAACTCCCTCGAATGTTCCCACAGTTGTGCTGTGATTTGCATCTGTTTAGAGAATCTGGGAGGTTAAATCCAGCCCCCAGCTTCCCCATCTCACTCCCTATAAACGAGTCTAACAGAGCAGTCTCTGCCCTGCCCTCAACTCTCCACTCATCACAGCAGCCATTTGCTCCAAGAGTTTCTTGGAGCTTGGCACAGGTAACTTGCCCTCTCCATGTCTGCAGGACCTCAGAGCATTTCTACACTCACCAGAGCAACAAGTGCTCCTGCAGGTACATGGAAGCCAGCCCAGACACAAACTCAGGTGCAGACATTTAACTCCCACACACACACACAGTGTGAAGTTTCTACCTCCTTACAAGATTGTGATGATGCTTCCAATTCCTCCTGCATGCCCATGTGCTTATTAGCCTTTCCTCTGTTCCCTCCTACACTCTTTGTGTTTGTTCAATGTGTTTAATTTCTTCTGTAGCTTTCCTTGCATGCATGTGCCTGCAGCCCCCATTCTGACTCCAAATTCTTCCATATGGGGGCAAAAAAGAAATGGACTAATAGCATTTGTTATTCTTTAGCCTTGGGGACACCACACAACATGCACAGCAAACCTGACACCTGTCACAACAGCTTCATTCACAGGAGCCAAAAGGGAGCTCCTGGCCTACTCTGACACCTACAGAGCTTCATCAGGCACAGAATTCTTGTAGCTTGCAACAGTCTTGGAGCACAGGAAGAGGACTAAGATGAGGTCTGCTCACCACAGCATGGCTGGGAGCCTACATTTCTTATACAGTTATAGAATGTCAAGACAGTTTTACTTGTAGTGGGGGAGTTCAGTGATGTTGTGGTAACTTTCCCTGCTCTTGGTCTTTCCAGACATTTCAGCTACAAAGGAAACCTCACACAAATGTCCATCTCATCTCCCCCTTCTTGCAGAAGTCTCTCAGGCACTGGCAGCAGCAGGTATGAGAGGAAACAGAGGAGATACAAAATCCAGGAAAGCAAGAGGCACCTTCAAAGGTGGAGTTCAGGATTTAGCATAATGTGATCTCTTCCTGACCACGCATTTCCCCCTTGTTAATGGGAGAACATGAAAAGCATCTCTAGCTAATTGTGCAGGGCTCCTCCAAACAGTTATCCCTGTTCCCAACAAACCCCCTGTGTTCTGAGAGCAGACTGACGTCATTGTGGTGCAAATGTCACTGATGGGCGTGGCAATAAACAGCGGGACAGGGATCTGTTCAGCTACAGAAACACTACGAGCCAATAAATACCACACCCCCGGAGACCACAGCCACAAAACACAGAGGACACCTACGGAAATTTCATGTGAGAATGAATATACATCAATGACAGGGAATTTGCTGTCTGGAGAGTTAAATAAAGGATATCAGGAGTGGCCAAGCAAAGCCTAGATAAATGGTTCCATTACCTGCCCTGCTGGTGGCTTCTCCATCCGAAAAGTCAGATCTTTTTCAACCAGAAGCAGGACTCCATGAATACAGTGAGGATCCATCTCCTACAACAGTACAGAGCACAAATCCATTAGTGATCTGCCTTGGATACTAAGGAGAATGTACCACATGAGGTTCATACACAAGTTTGCAATTGATCCTTCAAAAGCATCTACAAAGCCTGGAAGGCAGTCACCAGAAATTAAGGAAGGTCTACAGAGTACCAAGGTGATGTCTTGAAGGTAGTTTGCTTCAGATAACTAGTCCTGCAATACTTAAGGAAGCAATGGAAAAGGTCAGACGTTGGCTGTACTAAAGAAGCTCTGCCTTCTGCACAGGGAAGTGAATCAGGGAAAAAAAAAAAAAACAAAACAGAACTTAAAAAAAACTCAACCATGTTCCGTGTCCAAGTTTTTTTCTGATAACTTTCCTGGTCACTTCACCTAACTGAAAGGAAGTGGCTTTCCCCCCTCCACCCCCAACCCAGTGCCAAAAACATCATCTTGTCTCTACTTACTGCCAATTTACAGTCAAGTACTTGCATCCTGTTTCTACTGTAAACTGAGAGAAATTCCAAATACAAGGGATATTTGGCAGCTGTAGCTCAAACTCAGTGCTCCAGGAGCAGCTCTCCCATTATAGAAGCATTCTACAGGGAAGTGAGAAACAGGCAGAGAGAGCAACAGTAGGAAGGGGGAAGCATGGCAGAAAGATCCAGACCATGGAGACAGGACTCCCTACATGTGTGATGCCTGGACCAGGAAAGCAAGGAGAAGAGCCATTAAAGCTGATGTGCCACATGATTAAACAAAAGCCATCCCATTTTGATGTCTCCTGTGCAGTCTTTGCTTCTGCAAAGATCTCAGGAATTGTCAAGCAACAAATCCTTTGTGGTGTTGCTCGAGCTGGAAGGAACCTGGCACACAGCAGGTCACAACAGCAAAGGAAATTTGTTTAAATAAACAGCTCCAGCAGTGAGCAGGGTTAAATATCTGCCAGGAGCAGCAGAGCCAGAGTACAGAGAGAAGTGGACCAACAGAGACTGAATGACCTAACCTGACACTGGGCCCAGTTCAGCAATTAAGAAACAAGGCAAACACAAGGAGCCCAAAGTCTGCAAGTGAAAGTAGCAGCAGAGATCCCAGAACAGAGGAAAAAGGCCTTTCTCTCATCCAGTCCTAAAACATGATCCTTTTAAACAGAGAGCAAAAAAATCCCAACTGAAACACCTTCCAGAACCATGAGAGGTTTCTAAATTGTAAATTTCTCCAGTGAATTATTCACACTTTCACTGTTATTTAAACACTGATTAAAAGGCCAAAAAGGATTTATTGCATAATTAGGCTGCATTTGGTAAATACTGAAGAGAGGATGGGGAGATATTACAGCTGTATCACCAGCTCTGAATTTATCTGCTAGAAAGTACTGAAGAAGACTGGACACAACTTCAAGACTGCTGATGGTACTAAACAAATCTCTTCTTACACAATCCCTCTTCTATGCCAACAGTCACAAGATGTGCAATAGGAGTGAGGGATAAAGGTAGAGATGGTGTAACAAGAGGTTACCACAACAGCCAAAACACTCATTTGTTTGTTACTCCTGAAAATAGAAACTGAAAAACCATTCACAAATAAAGCAGTCAAGGGAAAAGTTCAAGGTTTTCCAACTCAAGAAGAAATTGTATTTCCAAAGAAATCAAGTACCTTTCACCACATTTTTTAATTTAAACAGCTGAAGGTAAGTCAGTCCCATCTAGCACTGATGGAGCAGTCCAAAGACTGAAACAGTTTACCAGGAGCGTCTCAGGAGACAAGCAGAGCTGGGAACAGCAGGATGCCACTTGAGGAAGCTTCCCTGCAGCTTTATGCACAATCTCTTACCATCTCTGCTAACAAAACCAACTTTATGGAAGCAAGGAAACAAGAGTTTCACACATATAAGTGAACTCTTCACCTCCCAAAACAGGTATAGTTTGGACAGCATAGAATAGAGGGGCATCAACAGGAGTTCAGAAAGCACCGGGCTAAACACAGAGCCTTTTATTATTATTTCTTTTAAAGAGAATTAGTTATTTTTTTCCAATGTTCCTCAGACTGAAGTTCCACTTTTCTGGCTTCCTGCCCCAAATGGAAACCCATGGCCAGACTTAACAACGCTGGCACAATCTGAAGCACAGGCTGCCAGGAATGTTTGCACAGAGGGGAGAGTCCCCAGACACCTCCGTCAGCCTCTAAGTGACCACTCCAATGGAGAAGCAGGGATTCCCTGTCTTTAACATGAGACCAAGTTCCTCTGCACTTCTGCACTAAGTGAGAATGCAAATACACCTCTTGAACAAAAACATTTGCACAGACCTTCTCTGCTTTCAAATGCTAAACTGACTCTTCCTAACCCAACACACAAACACAGCCGATTACAGGATTAAGCCTTCACACTGATATGGGAAATTCAAAAGAATCTCACTCTATTAAGACTCAGGCAGAGGGAAATCCCAGATACTTGCTCACTGAAGGCAGGGCACACATTCCACTCTCCATGCCCTGTCTGCTCACTGAGCAAGGGAGCAGTCTAGGACTTCTGAGCAAAGTTCCTCTTAAGAGCCACCCTCCACAGCACAGAGCTTACTTGTGACAACCTGTAACCAAACATTACAGCATTTATCCTGCAAAACTCCTTGCTCCAAAGCATCATTACACAGTTTCCAACAGGAACAAGCCTGATCTATTCCTGCAACATGCACGCACTGTGCACTTCCCTTCACCTCCGCACAGAACTGCCAGAGTTCCTCCTGCTTCTTCCTGAGATAACTCTGCAGCTCTTTTTATTCTGCCCCACTCCCTCTGCTCTGGCTGCTGTCTGGGACAGAAAGATTTCCCAGCCACCCAATATTCTAAAAAGAAGGGGAAAAAATTATTGCAGAATACAACTGGCCCTACCCTGAAGGCAGAGAGGACAAGCTCCCACCAGTTTACCAGGTGGTTCTGGACAGAGCAACTGACAGACTCCCAGTGCTGTAGGGAAAACTAACCTGCAAACACCCAAAGCTGTCTACTAGCACTTAATTCCAATCATGCATTCATTCTGGAAAGATGGAGAAATGGAAGAAAGATTTCCTCAGGCTGACATATCCTGACCCAGGAATCTCTGATTCCCAGGAATCTCTCTGGGTTAACAGACCCCAGCAGGAAGGGACTCTGCAATAGAGCATCTCATCTGTGCTTCTCCACTGTGAAGCCACTGCTGGGTTAAGAGGAGAACAGGCACTCAGAATTGAATAAACAGTGCTGGACCACCTCAACATTAAACAGATTCCAGCGCATTATCATAGCAGGCTTCACAGAAACTATGTAAGTAAAATCCTCTACAAGGGGAGTGGTGGACAGCAGAGAAATGAGCTCTAGAGACAGTCTGCCAGAGGCAAGAGACACTGAGATGTGAAAGGGATTTAGAAAGGACCCCAAGGACATGATCTGCACTGTGACCTTAGAGATGTAACATACAGCCTGTGCCTCAGTGCAGTCACTGGCCAAGCTAATCCTGCTGCACTCCAGAACACTCAGCTTGCCCCACTGTAGTTACACTCAGTTTTCTGCATTACTCTACCTCTGTTCCAGAGCAGAAGACAACACTGCTATGGGATTACAGAGTAAATGCTGAGGATCTTAGTGGGGCCAGGGATTACTCCTGTGCCATAACTAGGTGATGAGCTACCTGAACAGGTCTCCTTTACAGAGTCTTCAGAAGAGTCAGTGTAAGGATCAAAAACCCACAAGCAGAGTAATCAGCCTTTGTAAACAGTCAGAGTAACCAGTCACTGTTACCTAGAGCACACACTTAGGTCCAGCAATCTGTCTTGCAGCACATTAAACTATGTTAAGTAACTGTAGCACCACCCTGATAAGGAGGTGCTCAGAGCCAAACAGCCAGCACAGCACAGCAAAAAGCTTCCCCCCTCCCTCATTTCAGAGGGGAAACTTAAGGTTAAAATGGGATCATTACCATGCTTGTATGAGAATTGAGACAGCCAGAACATGTTACTGATTTCCAAATCAGGCGGCTAAGACTGCCATGCAACTTACATGGACAGTGAAATGCTCAAAAGCTTTAGCAAGCCCACTGCCATGTGGGCACAGCATAAAAGAGAATGTGTTTGCTTGTTACCTCTGCAGAACTGAGCAGGGCACAGATTACTCCTTCACCACAGAGAATGAGCACGCTGATAGAGCTCACAGCTCCACCCAGCCCAGGAAGCAGGAGGACAGACCTCTGAGTCAGACTCAACGCTCAGATGTGGCACTGAAGCACATAAACCACAGACATCAGCTTCATTAAAACATTGCCCTGTTCCAGTTTGCAGAGTTTGAGTCCTAAGAGACCTAAGCTCTGATTTAAAAGGAACACCTGCTTAAACAAGATTAGTCATAGCTACAACCCATCATCTCCCTGTCTTTCTAAGAGCAGCAGACAGTTTTTGTTTGGGAGGGGGGGACAACACAACCCACTGGCTTCCCAAGTGCCTGATATGAAAGCCTTTGACCTGAAGCAATATAGAGTTACAGCACATCCGATTCTAATCATTCACTGACAACCACATCAACAGCTGCACGTGCTTTTCCACCTGGCATAGCAAGCAGTGTCCTTCCCTTCCCATGACAGCAGCAGAGGCCTCTCTCCCTCCCTTCTCTGTGGCAGGCAAAAATCCCTGCACATTCCACAATTCCACACAGCCCCTCGGTGCAGGGGACAACACCTCCAAGCAAGATAATTCATGACAGCATTGACACTTGGGTATGGGCTGCTCTTAGCACTGAGATGAAAGCAAATTTGGAGGGGTGGGGAGGGGTGTTCTCCCCTAACTCAGACTGGCTTAGGTTTTTTGCTTTGTCTGCAGTCTGGCAAGTCCAGGTCATCCTCCTAAAGCAGGGCTGGGTGCGTATCTCCACCTCCCAAAGCCAACTGAAAGCCAGGTGGCAGGTGGAGACATAAGCAGCAGATGGAGATGTAACATCCAACCATGGCAGCAAGGCAGCCAGGGCTCCTCTGCCCGGCTCGAGGCTCACCTGCAACGCGCTGAACGCCTTGAAGAGAGCAGGGACGGGAGAACAGCGACGAGCATCCACAAGAACAGTCAGACCCAAAGCCTGACACTCTGGTCTGCAAGGACAAAGATAAAAAGGTCACCTTTGTCACCAATGAAAATTAACCAGACTATAGAAACAGAACCTGTAGTCATGGCAGGGTGAAAAACACTTATGGCTTCATAATAACAGGAACTAATTGGCCACCTTCTCCTAAACAAAATATATACACAGAAACCACCAAATAATTGTTGTTTTTACCTTTGCCATATGATTCTATGACTTCCACCTAACTTCCCATTTCTCCTATTCCTAGAATATGTGTCACTGATGGCAAAGGTGCTGATGCACACTGGATAACCCACACAGGAAAACCAATTCTTAGTAATTGTGTTCAGAGACAAGCTTGGTTTCAGCCTCACTGTTTCAGGAGAGTAGCCAGTCTGGAGCAGACCCAATGACTACCTCATCTAGAATCAGATTTGAAGGGAGAAGCATAAGAAACAAAGCATGAGTTTCTCATGGATTAAGCCTGCTCCCCTTATTAATGGTTTAAAGGCCTCAAAAAATCACTATCAGAGTTGCTTTACCTCTTTTTATTTAATCATATACAAGTGAAAAACAGTGATGAGGGGAAGAAAAGTCTGTCATAGTGAAAGGAAGAGAAGCTCCAGCAAACTCCAGCCTGCAGACACAGGCTTTTTTCAGCCACACATCAGGCAGCCTCTCAACCCTTACAGATCCTCCCTCCCTCTCAGCTTGGAGGCCTAGCCCTAAAATATCATGTCACAACACTATCACAGAGCTGCTGCATGACTGCCCCATGATAACTCCTAAATCCCATTTTCTGAACTAATGAAGGATAGCAAGAATGGCTTGGATTCAAGGCAACACATGAAAACATTCAGTACATACCCAATTATATCACACCACGTGCACACAGCATATACAGAACAGGCAAAGTGCTTGCTGAACACAAGCAGGAGACTCCCAGCTGTGTAATTTCAGAACTGTCCGGACCAAGTTCCTAGGCCAATAAAATCAACCTCCTTCCATTCCTGCCTCAATTCCCACCTCCAGGAAAGGCAAAGCAGACAGGGCAGCAGCTGCCCTGTCAGCCCAAGAGCATCACAAACCTTGGGATGCTGTGCAAGTACAGAAGCAGGCGCACAAGCTCAGTGGTGTTGCAGTGGGGGTTTAACCAGGCCGTGCTCCTTGCTGTTATTATGGCCACTGCACGCCCCGATTTGTCTCTGGTACCTGTAAAAAGAGAGGGGGGTGGAAATAAAGTTATTCAACAGAGCCTGGTTCCAGCTCTGCATGCATCATATCCTCCCACTAAGACCCCACCACCTTCCTGGAAATCCTGCACAGAACTCAATACAGTGTATGTTGCAGATGGTAGGAGGCCATAAACACACTCCCAAAGTACCCAAATGCTGTCCCAGAGTGAAGCAGATGAGCTCAGCTTGTCTCTCTCATGGCAGTGTTAAATTTGTACTGCTGTCTTCCACCCAAACAGATGCTCCTCATAAATATGGCTGAAGTTGCCTAACAATAATCTAGAGAAAAGCAGAAATCTCATAAATTCAAGATACAGAATCTCACCTTCACATTGCTGTCAGATGAGAGAATGCAGACAGGCCTGCAGAACATGCACTATGTTAGGAGAGCGGGCACACACTGCAGGCTGAGCCCAGAATGTACCCAGGCAGCTGCTGCAAGCAGAGCCCTGGAGCAGGAGCCCAGAGCTGCTCCTCAGAGGCTGCAGAGGGGACAGTCCAGGAGCACACCCCTGCCTGCCCACAGCTCTGACAAAGGACACAGGCAGTGCCAGGCTTTCATTAGGTGCAGAGCTTGCTCAGTGCCAAGGGAATAGGTACAGCACGGTATGGGCAACCCAGCTGAGTTGTGATACACTCAAGAAGGAGAAATCCTCTGCTTCAGTTAGCCAGGAAGGACAATGCTTCCCTGCCACCCATTTTCTAGAAGTCCAAGTCACAGCTTATCACAGGAGGAGAAGGACCTAACAGTGCCAGCTTTGGGATTGAGTCCAGCCTCCTCTCCAGATGCAAAAGCAGGGTAAAGAGCAGGTGGACACAGCACTGTGGGAAGCCAGAGCTGCTTCTGAGACTCCAAATCAGGCAATACCTGCAGTGAGCCTGCTCAAGTAACTGGGAAAGTAAATTATTTGGGGAACAGGAGGGAAAACACCTCTTCTGTGTGAAAAGTAATTCACAAGAACAGGAGCCATTTCCTGTTATACAAACAGTATAAGAAAGATGTGGAGTGGGCAGAAATCCCAAGCACAAGACAAAAGCAGAGACTTAGAGAAATCTGCTTCTTTCTCTCCTTAACTCTGTTCCTGCCACAGGAGATTCTGTCCTGGACCATCTCTCTCCCCCACCCCAGGGACAAGCATGAGAGCTGTCAGGTAAAACAGACACAGATGGACAGGCACAAGCATGGAAAGCTGTCCCAGTGTCATCTCCATCTGTCACTTGGACATGACTTGAGTAAGGGCCACAGACACAGATGGACACCATTTTGAAGCAGGGCTTTCTGCCTCCCAGGGACCAAAACTGTGACAGAGGCTTTCTCCTGTTAACAAAAATCTTTCATCATCAGTGTGAGTCAGGAGGACTTCTATTACTCCTGAAATACTGCAGCCTGGATGCTGTATAATCAAAGAGATGGAAAGAAATTAGAAAAAGCTCATTAATATAATTTGTTTCATAAGCTAAGGGGACCATCACAAAATAAAATAAAAATAAAAAAAAAAAAAAGCCCTCAATTACTGGAAAAATGGCTCAATAAAAGCTTTTTAATTTTGAAGCAACATCTTCTGTCCATCAAGCAGGTTGGGAATGACCAGAATTTGATTAAACCTTGAACTTCCACCTAGTAGTTTGGGAATTGCCTGATCAGGTCAAAAAAGCAACCAGAGCCACCAGGGCTAGGTCTTCAACAGTGGCATAATCCAAAACTGAAACCATCCTGGAAGTTTCAGCTAACTACATCAGCTACTAATTTACTACTTAGCTCTTATTTACCATTCATTATAAAAGCTATTCCTTCTAATGTAATTACTGTATCATTATCACTGACTAACATAAAGCATTTAATGAGTGGTCAGTACATTCCCTCAGGTGTGAGGATTGCCCACTGAAACCCCAAGAGGTCATTCAAATCTGATAGTGCTTTTACAGGAAACATAATACCTTCCTTAGAGAAAAACTTGCTTGGAAGCAGTATCAAACCCAAGCCTTGCTTCTTGTGGGCATTTGATATCCCTCCATGACATATTCAAATGTTTTTGTCTCATTTAACAGTGGTACATTTTGATTGGAATCTGTGACAAAAGGAGCATTAGGTAACATGGTGAGGCTCCTGCAACAGCATGGACTGAGAGTTTCTCTCAAAGACCCTCTCTACTCCTGTAACTTTTTGGGCTGTTATATACAGCATAAAAATGTCCAAACTGACCTGCAGACCAGAAGATTAAAAATCCTCCTTTGGAATTTGTTGTAACAATTAATCTCCTAATGCAAAGTTACATGTATGAATCTACCATTATTCTGCCCTGCCCTTGGTTTTCCATTTCACCTTCCAAAACTGGAAAGGTTTTAACTTCCTTCTTCCTTCCAGGCACAAAGGTGATTTCACCTCTTTCTCAATCATCCTGTGAGATAAACAACCTTCCAGTCTCTTGTTGTAAGACACCCAGTTTAGTTACAAGAAAGGGCTGTAACCCTTCTCTGCACCACCTCTAATATTTACCATTTCCTTTTACAATACAGCCCAAACTATTTCAGAGGCATCACCAAAAAGTATACAGAGGTAAAAAATCTGTATTTTCATCAGTCTAGTTGTCTCCTCCCCTTTACACAAGTGAGGTCAAAATGGGTCTTGCAGAGCCAGCACCACCTGGGAGATGCCTGTGCTGCCTTTCTGCTCTCCCTCCCTACTCCTCCACACTGCACAGTCTGCCTGACCTCTTCTCTGAGGTTGGGCTCTCTGCCCAATTTTCAACTCATACGTGGCCCCAGAGCTGATCAAATGCAGCTCCTCCTGCCCCACACTGAACAACCCTCTGCTGGCTCTGAGAGGACAAGCCCACAGGGGCTCCTTACACAGAGCTGCCAAATGCTGCCTCTCACTAGAGAGGTAGCTCTTACTTCCTCTGCTTCACTTCATGTTTGGTTAAACACAAAGACGTCTTGTGTGGGCCCTGTACACCAAGCAGCCCTGGCTGCTCTGTCCAACAGCCTCAGCTTTGTTCACCCCTCTGCCAGTATTCATCCCATGCAGAAATTTTATCTGCAGCTATTTGATATTCATTGCTCTATCAGATGCAAAGACTGAATAACATTTGACCTAAAACCTGATTCTGGCAGAATAATTCTGGGAAGTTGTCCCTTGATAGCTTACAGGTTTTGTCATCTGCTATTTAGCTACACTATCGTTCACCCTACACATTGTCCATCCACTTCACTGGGATATTTCTCTCAACACCGTGTCTCATGAAATCAAATGTTTTCTAAAAATCTATTATATCTATGTGGCTACATTTAGTCAACCAAACTTCTAATTACCAAGAATAAAACTGGTTTTCAAGAGTCCTGTCAAAGAGCATCTTCTACATTCCTATCCTTTAATTACCTAGCAAGTGAATCAAGTTCCTATTCTTCTGACCAGGTCTGATGTCAGGCCCACCAGTCCATCATTAGCTGCATCCTCACTCTGCTCTTTTTGAACTCCTGGTATGAGCCCACAGATTTGGCATTTCTGACTCATACACACTTGGTTAACATTTTGAGACTCCTGAGAGCAAATTAACATTAATGGGAGGGAAGTTCTGCTTCCTGTCCTGCCCATTCGGAAACTTCAGAGGATTCAAGAAGTGGAACTTCTGAAGAGGTCTGGAAGAATTGGCACCAGCCTCCAGTGCTGCAGAAGGAAGCTCACCTCCCTTGCCCTCCTACAAACCACATTTCCAAGACACATTCTTATTACAGCGTCCTGAGTGGGTCGCTGGAGGTGAGAGAGAGAGATGAGAATCTTGTTTCTTGATCAGAAGGCTGGATTTATTGATATATGATATATAATACATTATAACTATATTAAATAGAATAAAGAGAGAAGTTGCAGAGCTGCTAAGCTAAGCTAAGAATAGGAAGAAAGAATAACAACAAAGTTGTGTCCAGGGACCCTGTCCCCAGCTTGCTCCTGTGATTGGCTCTTAATTATAAACATGGGAACATGAACCAATCACAGGTGCATCCTATTGCATTCCACAGCAGCTGATAACAATTGTTTACATTCTCCTCTGGGCCTCTGCTTCCCAGAAAATGCAGAAATCTGAAAGAAAGGATTTCTGTGAAAAAATGTCTGCGACACATTCTGGCTCAGCTACTCACCAGGCAGGTAGGCAACTCCACTCCTGAGCACTTCTGGGTTCACATCCCTGACCATGGTACGTGCAAAGTGACCACCCCAGGCACTTCCAGAAGTTGGGGATGTCGGGGGAGTAACAGGAGGTGAAGTTTCCTCCAGGGCACTGCTTTTACTCGCTGCTTTCAACACACCTGTGCCAGTTGCCTCTTTTCTCATCTCTGTCTCTTCTGGCACCATCCCTGTAAGACAAGCAACAAACTGAAGCTCCAGCAGAGTTCCACCCAAAAGATCCCAGGTAAGAACCACACTGGGGAGGGATGTGCTCCCAGCTCCAGCACTCTGCAGCTCCTCCAGCCCTTTAGCAGCAGCATGCATGTTCTAAAACTGGTTGTAACATTAATACTACTGTAATTCTAAAATAAGAAACCAATTTATTGTGAAATTTGCAAAGTATAAAAGCTCAATTCAGATGGGGATTAGTGTAGTCAAAGTCCTTTTTAAAGGTAACATATCAAGCAGTACATGTCTGCTCACAGCCTGGAAGTCTGGCACACTGCAAGTCCCTGGCTGAGCTCCAGCAGCCTGAGCATGCTGAAGTGATAAACCAGCTCCTGACAGGGAGGGCTACTCCATCAGGACAGAATTACTCCCCCAACAACACTTTCAGATTAGTTCCTGAAAATATGAAGTCAACTGGAGGCTGACAGATCAGCTGGAAATTGGCCAAAGAGACCTTGTTCTCCTTGTCCAGCCTTTTTTAATTAACATTTAACTTGAAAGTCAGAAACACATTTAAAAATACTGAAGAACAGGATGATTACACCAATTAGCTCCTGCTAAAGAACTGCAGAAAATGCTTCCTTTGTCTGACACCTCAGCTCTAAAGTACAAGTTATCAGAATCAGTTAATTCTAAAATTAAATATCTGGGCTACTACATGGAAACTAAAGCTAGTTCTATCGAGTTTCAATTTTCATGTAAAATTATCTGGTAAGAAGGAAAAAAGTCTCTGCCCACTGTGCAAGAAATATTATTCCCCATTTCCCAACATCACAAGCATTAGAAGCCAACAAAACATCTTCAATAACAGATCTTTAGTATCCTAAGTACACAACTAGGCTATCCCTGAGTCTGCAGAAAGCTATACTAAATAAAAGACTTTACTTCACTACAAAACCTGATACTTCAGTATCTACCACCAAAAATATCAACCTTTCTTCAGGAAAATAAGAGTGGAATATTTATTTACTTGCTCTGAAGTCAGACATTTTAATTGCTATTTAAAATTTACTTCAACCATCCTACCTTCCTGCTCCATCAACAATGCTGACACTTGACTCAGTTTATTTACTAACAGATTCCAATACTTCATTAAAGAGCAGGACCAGGAACAAAGCAGCCCTTGAAGTGGCTTTCAATACAAGTTTTAGCAGTGAAGGAGATTTACAGGTTGAAGCTTAGTCTGAACTGCTTTCTAAATTGCTAAAATGGGTGAGAGAAGTGCCCTGAGCAGCACTGCTCACTGCAACAAATCATGCAGCAGTGGGGGAAAGAAGGAGGAGCTCCCAGGCACTGCACCATCAAGGGCACAAGAGAATAGCTGCTCATTCCTCTTTGGTAACACCCCTGGTTGAGGAGCACCCCTGGGATCCAGCCTGGCATCTGCTGCATTTGGCCACAGAAGCTGCTGTGAGGGCTCTGGGGCTCTGCCCAGGTCTGGCTGTGCCAGAGCCCCACTCTGTTCCTGGGGCTACCTCAGCCTCCACCTCCCAGTGGTGCAATCCACTCCAAACACTGCTACATCTTCCTGAGCAGCACTTCAGAGGGGCACTGATCTCCTGCAGAAAGGGTATCCTGAACATCACAGAGGCATGGAAGCTGTGTCCAAATGTTTCACATTAAGAGCTGGTAGACTTTCTAGGAGAACATGGAACATCACCTTATCAATGAGCTGTAAGGACTGGCAATAAGAACTACACAGTTTTTAGTAAAGGGGTCTGCATTAAATGACAAAACCCTTCAGAGAGGACCAAAATGTGAGATTTCAAGAGGACAAGAAACAGAACACAGCAGTGTTCCACACAGGTTACACACCAGTGCAAGAGAAATACATAAATGTGTGTGACAGTCCTGCCTTGGGTATCTCTTAGGAATGAGGCAGCAGCTCCCAGAAGGTAGAGAGAAACATTTTGCTCAGCCCACCACACACAGTCACGGTACCGGGGCTTTTCAGCCCTGGGGAAACTTCACTAAAGCTGTGCAGCCTCCAGACTATGCACATCTTGCCCAAACAAAACTCTTCCCGAGCTCCTGAAGGCCAGCTCAGCTGTGCAGATGCCAGCTCTCCCAACAGGCCCAAGCACACTGTTTGTTATTTGCGATCCGGGGCGGAGGCACTCGCTACAGCGGAAATTGTCCAATGCGGAGGATTACATCTAAAAGCAAATTGAGAGCAGGGACATCTGAACTTGCCGTGTTTGCAGGTTCCACCTTCCCCCGAGGTCAAGGAAGTGGGAGAGGAGGATTTGCTTGTGTGCATTTCAAAGAGGCATTAGCATTTTCCCTGCAAACTGCTCCAGCACCAGGATCACCTATGCTAACAGCAGGCAGTAACCGGACCAGGAACGGAACGCCCTGACAGGTGCTGCTGAATATGCCCCAGTGCGGCTTTTCAGACTATTTCTTGAATAGCAAGATATTTTCCACCCACAAAATAGAGGAATTCTTTCCAGAGCTGCAAAGTTTCAAAATCCACTTTCATTTAGATGTTAGTCATTAGGAAAAAACAGCAGTCACATTATCTGTGAATGGAAGCAGTGTAAATTTTAAGCCACCAAATCAAAACAGTTCACATTCGACTTCAGACTTTTTTCTATTTATATCTAAGTCTTTCTAAGATAGACACTACTTGTGCACAAAAAAAGCTCACTGAGAGTGGAAGTAAAGGGAGAGAGTTAAGGGACAAGGAAAAACCTGCAGACACAGCAAACTCAGATGCCCCACTTCTGAACATGCATTTTGACATAATCAACAATATCTGCTGTAACAAGCAAGCTCCTCCACCTGACACAAAGCAAATTGTGCCTCTGCCCACTGCTGCTGAGTTGTGAATTTCAGATCTGAACTGACCCAGTAAAGCTTTAGCTCTGTTGTTATTTATAGTTTAGGCAAGATACACACAGTTTCCAATCATAGCAGCAAAATGACCTCAACAAGACACAGAGATTTTAACCTACAGAACCACCTTGCTGGAAAAGTAAAGTCCATTTGTAGGACATTTGCTTTGCTTTGTAATTTTATCTCTGAATTATCTTGTAAGTACATCTCTGAGGGTTTAATGGGGCTAGATAAGGAGATGGCTTGTTTGGATCTCAAAGCAATCAAATGTAATTGGATGGATTAAGCTTTTTATAGTGCCAGCTACAGTGTTTAAGAACTACTGCCAGCATTAACAGATAATTGAGCTGCCCTTTACCATAAAAAGTTTATTTGGATAGTTTGGATGGTTTTCCTGGCAATTTAGGTTGTTTCTTTTGCTTTACAAACACTGAGATAAAAAGGTTTGAATTTTTCTTAAACTGCAATGCCTAAGCTTAACATCAGCAGACTTGAACCAAAAGTGTCACTTATTTCAGCCAAATCCCCAAAATCATTTGTATTGTCTTTCATTAAAAACAAACTCTGTGTGTACGCCAGAGGGGTCCATCACTGCTAAAACCTCCAGCAGTGGCCAAGATTTATTCTTTGGACCAGTGAGAACATCACACATCTCATAACAAGCTGGATCTGGTTAGTTTTAAAAGAGAAGAGATGGGAACACTCTACAAGCAGCCACAGCACTCACGAGCAAAGTGTCCACCCAGCACTAAACACAGACTAGGTGCTCCAAGGCCTGGTCCTGAGCAAGCAAGAAGTCAGGACAGGTTCAGGTTGGCCAGGGGAATGAATATCCACAGCATGGTTATTTCCTCACATACATCCACCAACACCCACAGATAGGCAGAAGGTGATTTTTTTTTTTTCTGCTCATGGTGAGAGATGCTCAGAGAGAAGTGTGCTGCAGAAATAGAAACTTCTGAGCTGACCCCTCCATTTCTCAGAAGAGAAATGCTTGTCACTTCAGAAGTATCAGAAATGCCTGGTAACCCTGGGCTTGTCTAACTACAGATTTGTTTGATGCAAATGTTAATCAAGTTTTATTTTAATCAGTGGACACTAATTTAGCTCCATTAGAAGATCACTAAGACATCAGGTAAAATGTGACTTTTGGGCACCTGAGAAGCAGTTGTGTGTGCAGTCAAATGGAATCATGCAGCAGCTCTTAGCCACATAATGTGGGACCAGGGCAAGCATTACAGTGGCAGCACATCCCAAGACAACCAGCTCTGGATCTGTTGCCCCAGAGGATCAAACATGCTCCAGCAACCTGGGTCTGTACGCCAACCCTTTCAAGAGTCCTCACTCCAACATTTCAAGCTGGGTAATTTTCCTAGCCAGGGGTCTCAGGGAATGAGAGCTGCTGAACTGGAATGGCATGTTCCACCCACCCCCGCTCCTCTGTGTGATCTGCAGATCGAGCTGCAGCTCTCCAGACTCAGCAGAGCTGGGCAAAGCCCACACGGGGCCCGTGTGGTTACACACTGCCTGCCTACAGTCTGGTGCAAAAGGCACACGCCTGGATTGCCCTCTCAATCTCCTGAAGAAGCACAGCCCCAGCTCAGGAACCCAAGCATCAAGAAATCTGGGTAATACCTGCTTGAACATTCCATCCGAGCTGAAGTTAGATGCTTAATTCCTGTGCTCTCCCACTCAAGTCAAACAGCTCCTACTTGAAACACAATGGAGGTGAAGAAAGCATGCCGGAGGGGAAGGCAGGGAGAGGGGGAATCCCTCAGCTCTGCAGCTTGCTGCCTGAATCACTTATCAGCACTTACACTTGTTGATCTTCAGGTCACGTTACACAACTAGTATTTTACTGTGGCATCCACTGTTGCTGCCTCTTGCCACAGCCATCTTCCTAAAGCCACTTTTCAACTATGAAAGACTTGTACAGTTAGACAAGTCTCTCCTCACATATTCTGCACATCATGAATGTAAGCAGGAGGAGGTCACCAGCAATCAGATTTACTGAAATTAAAAGTTTCTTCAAATAGAACTTTGTTCTGTACCAACATAAATTTGCAAAGAATTATTAAACAAAATGCCACAATAAAGCCACCTGTGAAGAGAAAGCTAATTTCATGCCACAAAAAATGACAATTTAATCTCTTCCCAGTATTTTGTGCTATTACCCCAAAGCCTCCCAGATGTATTTATCAAATCCTGCCTGATAAGCAGTATTCAAGCAGTACTGCTTGAGGATTTTGCTTTCAATCCGTGTTACCAAACACAACCACACAAATACCCAATGGCTGTACCTTTAGGAGGTGACGCCCCCGACGATGCCTCTGGCTGGGAGTGCAGAGTGGCAGGCTCTGTATGCTCCTCAGCAGGTTCTGAGGACAGTGGTTCACCCTCCAATTCCTCCTCAATGGATTCCAGTGTTTTTGAGGCTGTAGTCTTCAACCTTTCCCTGTAAGAACAACTTTCCTGGTTCTCCACATGTCCCTGCAAGTCCTGTACTGCAACATGCTCCTGGTTCAGCAGAGAGTTCTCTTCACTTTCACAGCCATGGTTTTCCAAGAGCCTTTGCGGTTCCTCAGACGTCCCTCCAGACCTCTGGGTTTTGAACAGACTTGAATCTTCCTCTTGTGCACTGGGAGCCAACAAGTCACCATTATTTAATTGTTCTGCCATCTGATTCTCCTCTGCTGACTGGGCAGTTTTGAGTGGTATGGCTTCTTCAGCCTTTTTATGCTCTTGCTCTTCACCATCTGACAAGGTTCCATCTGTTGAAGCTTTCACAGAACAGTGACTACAACTAGTCTGATTTTCATTTACAGTCAACATTTCTTTAGACTCTTTCACTTCCTCTTGGCTGTCCCTTCTTCCCACCTCAAATCCATCTACATCTCCTTGGCTCTCTTCTGGAGGACTTAATGGAGAATTTGCCTCATTATCGCTGCAGCAAGGGCTTACATCTGCCACATTCCCTGAAGGAGAGCCTCTCTCCCCACCTACATCTGAATTCTCAGGCAATGTAGTGACCTGAACTGGCTCAACACTTCCACTGACACCCTGGCAAGAGACATCAGAAGCTTCCTTTAGTGTGCAACATGGTCCCAAAGGGCCTAGGACAGGTACAGAAGAAGCATCCGTCAGTGTCACCTCCTTTTGACCCTCAGTCAGTGGTTCTGTGTGTACTCCCAGCATCACTTCCTCTTTAGCAGCAGTAGCATCTAGAGTCACTTCTGGGCTCTGCTCCAATGTTTCAACACCAGCACTTTCACTAGGTCCATCCCTTTGTCCCTCCACGTTTCCAGGGGCACCAGGCACTCGTGCCTTGCAGCTGGCAGCATCTCCAGCACACACATCAGTGTAGCTGCACAGTGCGTATCGCTCACTGCGAGTCTCACGCTCTGCAGAGGAATCTTCTGCACGGCAAGCAGGAGGCTCAGCCACAGGGAAGTTATCACCCATGCTCCCAGGATCAGCTGGTATCAGCTGACCTTCTGGGGACAGTTCTCCATGTGCCATCATTTTGCTGCCTTCCAACGGAGTAACATTTTTGAGAACTTCTGTAGAAGTGTTCAGAGTGTCCATTTGACAGTGTTCTTTCTGCATAAGTGCTGAACGAATTAAGTTCTTGGAGTAGGTGCTGTCTTGTATGACAATAAATCTGTGCTTGCCTTTAGACTCATTCACTCGTGCCCTGGGCTGAGTGAAATAACTTAATGCCAGAGACTGTGTTACAGATCCTGTTTGTGGCCCAAATCTGGGCAGTGAAACTTCTGCCAGCTCAACGTACTCCCCTTCAAGGTCACTTTCCAAGCTCTCTTGAGTCACAGGACTCGTACAGACACCATTGACCAGAGCTTCGTTTAACTGTGGAGCAGTGCTGCTAATGACAGGGTTGTCTCGATTTGAGCTTAGTTCCTGCAGATACTGAGACCTCAGGTCTGGTGAACCACACTCAGTACGGTCCGTGGGGAGGCACAAAATTGAACGTTCCTCTGTTATTTCTGGAGAGATTATATTGTTTTCAATTATTTTTGGTTTATTTATAAATTCAGGATTAACCACTTTATCCCAGGGGACACGAAATATTTTCTCATCAGTGGTTAGTAAACAATTTTCCAGTGCTATGCCCATCCGCTCTCCATTGAACGTACTCAACCATTCCAGAGTAAAAATAGAGGTATATGAAACTTCTGGAATCACCACTTCTTCTACATTATGCTTATCTTTTGCCAAACATTTCAATACAATTCGTGGAGGCTTCTTCACAGAGGGGACCACCTGCAGGTAGAAGTCACCAGGCTTCAGGATTTGCCAGTCAATGGAAGCGAGCTGGATTACAATCTTGTCCTGAATGCACAGGGGCCAGCCCGCATGGCGAAACAGCAACCCGCAGTACGGAGCCTGTGGAAACAACAGAAAGTGTTCTCAGCACCAGCAAAAGATCTCAGCTCAAGCTTCTGAGTAAGAGATCAAAAAAACAGAGGAATTTAGGGTCTTTGGTTATTGATGTAGGCAAGTTTCCACACTAAGGTCTTCTCTTGAAAAAGCAGAAATAAGAAAATCTACCAACACAAACCACCCCTGCAGGACAGGTGGGCACAAGTTACACTGGGAGGCTGCAATGTCCCAGTGAAGGGAAGAGGAGAGTGTGAGGACAAAACAGGAGATAGGAAGCAGCAAATGAGGAAAGCACAGCAGAGCCACAGAGAAAGAAAGCAGCAAGTGCCATCAGGGAACTGTGAGGAACCACACTTAACATACCAGCAATTTCCTCATTCCCAAAACACAGCAGCACTCAGGCCATGCCTCAGACAAATGCCACCCAAGTAAAAGAACTGAAGTTTCATGGCTGAACTGACTTGACTCAATTATTTACAGCTTTATCACAACTTCAAAAAATAATGTCCAGTGCTTTGAACTTGATTCTGTTCGGGTAAGATTTAAATTAAGCCATTATATAAGCCATCAATTCCACAATTAATTTCATCTTTTTCTGTACAACAAGGCTTTGGATTCAATTAATTCAAGTATCTTGCCATACAGCAGAGAAACCAGAGAACAGAAAGGAACTTCTGGGATCCTCACACACCTTGAAACAACAGGTACTGGCATAAAGCAATTTCTTTCTTATGTTCATCAAGCTTTCAGCCCCACCAGATTTCTAACTCTCCTTGCACCTGAAGCAAAGTTGCTCACAGGTTTAGAAAGCCAAATCATCCTTCAGATATAGTAATTCCTCCTCCTCAATCCTGTATTTTCTGGATGTGTTTCCATTGCTTAGACTCATTAAACCATGTCACATGACCTTAGCATGTCCACCTTCATAATCTCCTCAGTGTGCCTGAAGTATCTCCTTTGTAATGCCCATTTCTTTTTCTTAAAAACCATTTGTTCATTGTGCAAAGCATTGTTAAACACAGCCTGTAATGGCACCAGCACTTCCCAAATGTGCTGGAAGCATCTCTTAAAGCTAAGATCCCACTTGTCTTCCAGTCACATTCCTACAGTAACCCAGTCACCTCCTGGTTTTTCTTTTCAAACTGATGAACTCCAGTTCACAACAGAAGTTCTGCCTGCCACTTCGTGGAGGCACATGCTTGCCCTCTGAGTTACCATCACAAAATTTATGTACAAAGTTTTAGAGCTCATCTTGTGCAATGCATTTATCACCCTCCTCTTCCAGGTTATAGTTGGTGTGTCCCAGGCTGGTTTCACCACAAACATGCCATACATACTCTTACTTTTTATGCCAAGGTCATGGATGAGAAGCATGGTACATTTCATGACTCCTGCCTCTAACTCCATTTTTCCCCCAGTACAAACATCCTCCCTCCCTTCCACCAGTCTGTAGCCATCTTGCAATTCTTGCATAAACATCAACCCCTTTGACACAGTAATTAATCTTCCATATGACCCCATAATAAATCCTTTATGGCAGAGATTAAACAATGAAACTTATCTCTCTAGAGAGAGCTGGTTTATTAAAAAGGCTGGTGTGACACTACCTGCCATGGAGCAAACCACATGGAAACATTATTCAGTTTTTCACGGGTCAGTTAATTCAGTCCTTGCTCAGTGCACAATGTTGTAGGCTCAGCTTGTTCTCTGTATTTTGTTACTAGTCCTGACTTAACAGATTCTACAAAATCCCTGCTACCAGACATTCAGCATTACATGGTAACTTCTTCCATATTCCAGGATGGAGACCTGCCAGTCCTATTTCTTCAAAATAGTCAAGTTCAGTCACAGTAGTTTTACTTCTGTTTACTGCTACTGCCCTACTCATGTACTTACACACTGTATCACTACAAAAAGGAACCTTACTTCAGTTTTCATTTACTTGAAGGATCATATTAATATTACCTTTCTATTCTAACTTTGACTCAGAGCAGACACATCTCCCCTTCTTTCCTCTTTCTATTAAGTTAGAACCAAAAAGCCCTAGAGCCTGACACACAGCTGCCTGTACTTCCCTCAAAGGCACAGCTAAGCTGGGCAGTGTGGTGTTCTCAGGCTTTCTGATCTGCCAGACACAGATGCCTCTGTCACTAAGTTCCTTTCATCCACATGCAGTTAAACTCAGCAAGCCCAGAGCACCTCTTGCAGCAGTTTGCACAAGCTGCTCCAGCAGGTCTCAGGCTAAATGCACTTCATGGACTTTTATACCAAGCTCAAGACTCACACAGCACCTCAGCCAACAAAGCTTGTGGCTCCAACCAAAGTGCCCAAATCAAGTATTTTGTTTATAAGTTTTAAACTAGAGCAATTTGCAGTTTTCCAGAAGAGAGTGTACCACTGCAGCACACCAACCCCTCTTCTGTCATTATAGGATCTCCTAGTCAATGTATTAAGGCCAATGGTCTGTACCAAGGGTCTTTCAGGGAAAAGAGGCAGATGAAGATCAATAAGATCAGTTCCCAAACTATTATAGCTCATAGGACTGAAAAGTGAAAGACACAATCAGCAGCAGCATAAACATAAAGCTGAATTCCATCAGCACATACTTGACATAGAGATCTGTTAAAATCTGGATGCAGAATAACCCACTGGAGGGCCACTCATACATTAAGAAATTCCAAACAGCCTCACTGTTTAGATGCTTACTTGTCTGCCTACTGACTCGTAAGGAGAAAACTCAGCAATAAAAGCACCAAAACCAAAATGCAGAATGCACTGAAGTTCCTGAAAAGCCCTACACAGTCACAATCTAAACTGCATCAGGAACCAGAGTAACATCCAAAACAGGAATGCAAGTCCCACAATAGCCTAAACATTACAGAGCTTCAGAACTTTAGAAGTGGAGCATCCTCATGCTGCTCCTGCTCCAAAATGCACCTTCAAAGGGAAGATTATGTGAAGAGGCTTATTACAGTACCTTTAACATCTCATTTTGAGGTTCAAGGATTTGCTTTTCTCGTGTCCAAACACTACAGAGCCAAACCAGGCCCATCAGAGGAGTGCCAGGAACACCCTCTACACCCAGTGGCTGCAGCCAGGAATAGGCTGAGCCAGCTGCCTCTGAAGAAAGAGCTGGGCACCAATGACAAAAATGGCACAAAGGTGGAATCTTCCAAAGCTACAGGGATGGCTAAGCTGGAACAGACCATTTAGCTCAGGACATCACCTCAAAGCCAGGGGCAAAATTTGGTTATTAACTTTGTCCTAAGCAGAGACAGACCTCCTTGGAACATCCCTTCCAGTCCCTGAGGAACCACACAATGGCTGATGATTTTAATGCCCATGAACTAGTCTAGTACTTCATGAAGCCATTTACACTTTGGTCACTGCAGAGGCTGACAAAAGATCCAGTGCCCTCAAGACTTTCTACAGTAGTCATTCAGACATGAGTTAATTCTTTTCCCTCCAGTGTGTTTAGGAAACGCTCACACAGAGTAGCTGAACTACAAACTAAGGAGGAAGTATTGCTTTTGTTTAGACTCTCTAAAAGGCAGGCAAGACTCTCAAAAAGCAATTAGTAAGAAACAGTCCCCTGTGATTTCAGACTGTAAAGATGAAGGGGCATACAGTGGAGGTTTGGGGAAGAAGAGACCACAGCAAATTAAACAAATTTCATAAAAAAGAAATAATAAATTTAAAATATAAAACAAGCAGACTTTTAAATAAAATATGGAATAGCCTGGGCCCAACTCTAAAGAGGGTACAAGGTACCGAGAGCTTCCCTTGATCTCCCTGTACTGTCACTCCAGAAGCAAAAAATCATGAGACACAGCCTGAAAGGGTCACAATCAAGAAAGGAAGGATCCTGCTGACCACTCTCCCAGCCATTTCACACCTCACCAAAAGCCCCCAATACCTAATGCTAAGCCTTGTGCAGCCCTCCCTAAAGGCAGCTGCCCAACCCACCCCACATCTTGCTGGTCAGCTGGGTGGGCCACCAGCACCCTGGGCTTCTCCAGTGCCCACTGGCCTCACACTTCCCTTATCAGGACCCCGAGCTCCACCTGCCCTCATCTGTCCCTCCTCAGGACACCCAGCACCCGTTGCCCTCACACCTCTCCCTCCTCAGGACACCCAGTGCCCACCACCCTCATCTCTCCCTCCTTAGGACACCCAGTGCCCACCGCCTTCACACCTCTCCCTCCTCACGGCCGAGCACCCATTGCCCTCACACCTCTCCCTCCTCACGGCGAACACGGCAGCGCCTCGTGTTCCAACGGCCCTCCAACAGCCACCGTGCCCGTCAAGGCGGTCCCGCGCTGCTATTGGCTGCTGCGGCACCCGCTGTTCTCCCATTGGCTGTCGGGGGGCCGAGGCCCGCCCAGCCGCCCTGCCCGCGTCCCCCCGTGGCGCCCCGAGGGCCGCGGGGGTTGCGCGGCCTTTGCCGTGCGTTCCTCGGCCCCTGCCCCAACGGCTTCCCTCAGGGACGGCAGCACCGTGCGCCCACCTCGCTGCTGCTTTCCTTCCTTCCTTCCCCTTCACCGCCTCACCTGCCCAAGGCACCACTGGCCGCTCGGAAGCTGCCGGGATCTCGAGAAGTGGGGAAATTGCTACCTTGGCTCATTCAGCGAGGGCGGTATTTTGGGGAAAGCCGTGAAACATCTTGAAATAATTACCAGTTTGTACAAACGAAAAGCTTTTTGTTTCTTTAAAGGAGAAAAACACACCATGCACCATAGAATTAGAAGCTCCAATTACGGATACTGATGGAATAACATCTATTGCAGTGTTCAGGGTGGGAGAGAGCAGCAAGGTCATGCACCACCTTGGATCCTCCTCGACTCACAGAGATGGCAGGCACCAAGCTGGAGGTTGGTGACAATATGAGGTGACAAACACTGCACCAAAACACACTTTCAGGATGCCTACTTCACATGGATCCATCCTGTGTGATGGGTCTGTCCCCCCAGTATTTCATTTCCTTGAAACAAATGAGTGACTATTTCAGCCTCTATTCCATACTTTTCCTCCTCCTAGAAGTCCCTTGCCCTCTACCATGAGGACTTGAATTGAAAACCTGGCCACACGCCCCCTTTGCATTCAGAGACAAAAAAGTTAGAACAAACCCACATTTTAGGTTGTTTGGGCTGGTTGGGTTTTTTTTCATCTTGCAGACCTCGAGCCAAGTTTTGTGATGGAGGTGTTTGACTCATCGTTTCTAACATTTTAGACTCCCAACAGTAAAGCACGTTAATCTTGGACTAGTTCTGGCAGTAAATGTAACGTGACTCCTCGGGGCTACTGAGCCTTGTGACTGTTCCAGCAACCATCAAAGGGGAGCTGGAGTTTTGGAAAAACACCGACTGGAAGCATTTTGCCCTGCACGTCATTGTGCCAGTGGCAAGAGCCCGATAGCTTCATCCACAGGGCCAGGGAACAGCTGGGGTCAGAGGCCACCCTGGTCAGATACATCTAGCAAACACTTTGCTAAACCTCTTCCTGTGAATCCCTTAAGGCCTTGGTGTTCCTGATTACAGAAAGGGAGAGCACTGCTCCACACCTGATCGCTGATCTCTGAAGGGTTAAGCTTCAACAACAATTTCTCAACTATTTCCTAATTGTCAGCCTGCCCTCCCACCTAGACTGCCATACATACTCAAGCGCTTTTTGCCAGTCGTTTTGCATACAAGAGCAGAAAGAAAACTCTCCAAGAAAGCCTTCACAGGCCTTAGAGAGCATGATGTACTCACACAGGCATCCTGCTGAATGCACTGCAGGATGTGCTTGGCTGGAATCAGGAAGTCTATGAGGTAGTGCAGTCCATCCCCACGGTACGTCTTCTCCACCACATCAAAAACTTGGCACAGCACAGTGGCTGCGGTAGCCTCGAATGGAGGGTAGAGTGCTGATAACGTGCTCTGAATGCAGCCGTCCAGTGACTCCGAGTCCTGCCGAGACAGAAAGCGTTAGTGGGACCGGGACACGATCCGCCCAACGCCCAGGAGCGCGGCCATCGCCAAATGCAGGAGGAACGAAGATCACAGGAGCCAAGTGCTGTCTTTCTGGCTTCTTTTGGCACTGGAGATGGCAGGTAAACACAGAGAAGCTCTCCCAAAGCAGGAGTGGAGTGCTCGCAGAGCGCTGCACACAGGATTGCCAGCTTTTGCTTACGCAGCAAGTCCTTGTGCTGCCTGCGCGGGGTGGGGCGGCTGTTAGACCACACCGCAGCACGTGAGCGCGTGCGAGAGACACAGCCACGGGTGGGCATCACCAGCCCTGTCCATGGCTTGGGAACACTCCTTGGTGGGCCAAGGGCACCTGCAGTGGGCTGAAGCCCCTCAGCCTCCTGCGCTCTGGAGTCCCAGCACAGGATAAGGTGCCAGAGCTGTTTGGTTCTGTGGAAAGCCGCTCTCCAGAGCGACTCCTCGTTATTCAAAGCTGTTTGCCTCTCATGAAAAGCTCTACTGCAGGAGCGAGGAGTTTTCTGCAGTGCGAGATGCCTCACACGAGGATTCACACAATGTGTGTGAGCAGGGCTGCCTGTGGTCCCTGAGCACACCCATTGATACCTAGGATGCCTGTTCAGGGGGATCAGAGGCAATGGCTTGCCTGCATCCACCTTCATTTGGGAGAACCTGCCAGCCAGAGCCTGCCCATAGTGTCAGGACCAATTCCAGTGCTGGAGGCCAAATTCTGAGTTATTGCATGGGTGTAAATCAAGAGAGCTTGCCAAAAAGTAACAATTTAAAAAAATATAAAGCTGTACATATCTGGAGAGGGGATCAGGATTGCTCCTTTCTTTTCTGTTTTAGAGGGGATCCCTTGGGCTAGCTTACAGCCAGTGGGAATAAGTTTTGCTCCAAAACCAAATGAAAGTTTACTCAGGTGTCTGGCCAGATCCTCATCTGATCCAAATCCACCTCCTTTCACTAGAGACAAGAAAAGCACTTCAGCTGCTTACGCAGAAGCTCCACAGCCTCCTGCAGAACAGGAACAACTACATGAACATGCCTGAAAATACACTTCAAGACTGGGAGAGAAAGTTAAACAAAGCAGTGCCACAACAGCTTACGCCACAACCGGGGAACAGTAGAACAAGGGGATCAGTAGGAAACAAATGGTTTCACTGCTCCCATCCATTGCAGCACATCTCTGAAGATGCCTCCACCAGCCTGGGAAAGTTCAAGAGTCTCAGAGCAAGCCTGAACTGACCTGCAGCCCAGCAGAGTGGATGCTCCTCACACAAGCCTTCCCATCTCTCGCAGCTTACTGATCTCCAGGTTCCTCCTTTAGAGGGTTGGGTGTTTAAGCACAACATAAACTCCCTGCTCCGATGCAAAGCCACCTCGTGGGACAGACAGCCTGTGGGACTGCACAGGAGAGGTGAGGACACCCAGGTGATGCCTCCACAATCCCTGCCTGCAACGAGCTGGCAGAACTACAGTGACAGGCAAACCACACACTGCCTGTGGGACAATGCTGCTTCCTTACCTTTCTGCTCTTTCTCCTGATGTCAGCAAAAGCAAGGCTACATGGATGGCAGCAGACTCCTAAAGTGCCCACACCTTTTCTGAGAGGCCAACTTGCAATACTCAAGGCCATCCTGCAATACTCAAGGCCAATGCAGCTAGATAAACAGAGGTTAAGGAGCTATTTTTCATACACATAGAATCATAGATTATCCCGAATTGGAATACTTAATCCAATATTCTTTAACCAAGAATTCCAAAAGCAAGAGCGCTATGTACACACTCTCAAGAGCTGAATTCTAGGGGATGAGCATTTAACCCTAATTCTAAATAGGAGGAGAAGGCTGTTTTAAACAATTTACCTTCCACTCAGAAAAATAATAACCTCTGTTGATACCAATGTGTCCCAGCAAGTGCCTGTGACCTTGTCAGATAAAAGTGGCCTTCACACAGGTGCTCTCCCACCCCACCAGTCACCTTCTTGGGCACTATCACAGCATTGCTGCTGGCAGCATTTGACAACAATCTCCCTCTGACCCTCCACAGCCCACAAGTTCAAAACATCAATCAAAAACAGCTGGGGTTTGTTCTGCACCATCTTCTGCTTGAGCAAAATTCTTTCAGATATCAATCCCTCCCCAAAACAAATTTGTTAAGTTCACTGTTGCAAATAAAACAAAGAAGTCAAAATATTTGCACATGAGTCAGTGCATTGCTCTAAGGTTCTCACACCATTCCTCCTGCCTTAGACTTCACAAAACAATTATTAACATTGGCACCAAATCAAAAATCCTTTATATGGTTAAAATAAACCAGCTTGTACCTTATCCTTTCTTTAGTAAAATACAAAATAAGCGTAGCCTGTAGCCATTGCAGAGTGCAGTGCTAACTGCACTCCTGAGCACAGAGCCTTTCTCTCCCTCTGGCTAGATTATACCACAAAGCCATGATAGCTGTGTAGATTTCTAAGGGATAGAGAGAAGGTTTCAACCCCTACCTTTATTAAAAAGAGATGTTTGCACCAATCTCTGCTAATTCTGCAGGAAAAGCCCCAAACAAGAAGTAGATTCCCACATCCCACTGTGCTGCATTTGATTATAGCACCAGCATCCTTGGGAGGGTACAGAACCAGGTACAGAATGAGGCTCCAGAGCAGAGCAGCCTCCGTGTGCTGCAGAGGAATGTTGGAGGTGACACTGCTCCTCAGTGCCCCCACCCAGGATGGTCACCCAGGGACAGCTCCTGCCTGGAAGGAGGGTGAAACAGGGCACTGCCTCAGAAGCCACCTTGAAAATACAGAGGGTGGAACATGAGAGAGCTTGGAGCCTCCAACAGCAATAGGGGACTCATTAACCCAGCTCACAATCCTAGGGATGGGGCTGCTTATTGGCACTAATTAACTTCTCATATTGCAGAGGGGCTGGAGGAAAGTGCCTCAGCCAGGACTGCAGGAGGCCTCAGGGTGCTGCTGTGGAATGCCAGAGCACACATGGGCAGCCTCACACATCCAGCCTGCTGCCAGGGCCAGCTGCCATGCACGTGGAGGAGATGTGGTGTGCAGGCACAGGGAACTCATACAAACCAGAGAAGGGAATAGTGCCCTGTGGTCCTGAGGCTGATAAACCCGAAGTCTAGAGCCTATCTCATCTACATCGTGGAATCATAGAATGAGTAATGAAGGGAGCACTGGAGGTCATCTATCCAAGTTCACTGCTCCAGAGTGCCCCAGACCATACTAGGAGACCCCTAGACCCCTGCAGGGTCCCCTAGAGCATGTAACTCCAGACAGCTTTTGAATATCTCCAGAGGAGACTCCACAATCTCTGGGCAGCTTGTTCCAGAGGTTCCATCTCTTATCTCAAACAGGCAGTGTAACCCCCAGCAGGCACAAGGAGAAACTTTTGTGAGCCGGGATGAGCGAACAGCACCTGGAGAGAAGGAGAACAAGCTAAACCTGAAAGAATCCATGGAGGGGGCACTCTTGCCCAGCACATTTCCACGACAACCAGCCCACAGTGGTCCCCAAGAGCTGGCAGAGCCTGCTGAAAAAAACCAGCCTCCTTCAGGGACTGAACGTTTCAAGCTTCCCTGATTCCAATACCATTGCCACATCCCTCTCACAAGAAAGGTCCTGGACATGTGCTCCTTTTCTGCCACTGGGCACAAACACCAACAGGAGCACTTTCCAAGCAAGCCAGAGAGTATCTCTGCAAGCAAAAGGAGTCTTGGGATTCAAATAGTTCTTTGTCAATAGTACAGGAGGACCTATAAACTCCAGCTCACTGCCACCATTCCACCACACCTCCCAGAAGAGAAACATGCTTTTAAAATAACTCCTCTATAAATCAAGGCGCTAAATAAAGCCCAGGTTAAGGTCATGTCCGGCCAAACTGGCTTTCACTGCTGCTGAGAGCCAGCTGCAGGGGCTGGAGCACAGGGATAGAGGAGGAAAGCACCACACAGGGATGGGATGGGCTGAGCCATGTGACAGGAACAACCCAGCATGGTCCCAGCCAGGAGGCCAGGGGAGCAGTGGGAACGCAGGAGGAGTTCACAACTGGCAGGGGGCTTGGGTCTGAGCCGTGGGTGGGTGGGCTGCCCTCTTTCCTCTGCATATCACAGGAGCCACGGATGCTGTGACAAATAGGACAGTAAAGACTGTTGTGGCAAAGCTCTGCTGCTCAGCCCTTAGAGCCCCACTCCATCACAAACTGCAGCAAGAACCAGGACTCAATCAGAAATGAAGCTACGAGTGCCTGGGCAGAACAGGAGCCCAGCAGCTGTTGCAAACCTGATTTTAGGGGACGTGTCTACTTCTGGTGCAGCAGACACTGCAGGTTGGAAGAGAAGCCTGTCATGAGGGATCTGGAGTAACCAGGAGCTTCTTAGGCTTTTCTTGGTGCACTGATTGAATTTTCTGCCTACGTTTGTGGGCATAAGGAAACCAATATAGCAGCTCCAGCCACTGGGAACTCCTGTCATTCAACATTTCTTTCTTACTCAGAACTGAACTTCTTCCTCTTTGGGACCTACTGCTCACCAATTAAGTCTGAACCCTGAAGAACCTCCTCCAGGTTTGGAGAACAAAACATCAGCCTGCCTGGGGAGCAGAGAGGTCATCCCCAGGGCTACACACACACTTCACACAGCATCAGAATATCTGTGCTCTTCAAGCAAGAGACAGCAACCCAAGTGGCTCAGGACAGTGTAAATCAGTGCAGGGGAGGCCTGCAATGCTTCTGGACCCACCTGGGACAGCAAAGCCTTGACAGCATTTCCCCTACAACTCACCCAAGCACTTTGCTCATTTTGCCTACAAAGTACTGAGTCTTGGTCAAGGCAAACATGAAGAGGCACAAATCTTCCCTCATGACAGCCCAGATGCTGTCTGCAGACTACTAAAAAAGAGTGTTTTGGTGAGACCAGACTGACATGGGTTTGGCTAACCCATGACTTATGGCAGACAGCACTCCTTTCCA